TGCTATAATATGGATTTTTGTGGTCTAGGGGTATAGAAACAGCTTGGTATGGAAGGTTGTGATGTGTTTAGAGCTCGAAACCGGATTCCTTCATTGAGAATTTGAACCATTGACAATGTCACTTTCATGATCGAGTGCTCAGGACAAAGAGCCCAAGTCTTACGAAGTCTTGCGAGCGATCAAAAATGAGATGTCTACTGAACCTCACTTCTATGCTCGAGTGACCACTTCACCGCTCGAGCAGCCTTGCCTGCAAATAGGCAAGCTACTGGGAGCTCCGCATCTCCGCTCGAGCAACCGACTTGACCGCTTAAGCGATCTCCTAGGAAAGATTGTTACAGATCAACCTTAGGTCTTTATCTTTTTACTTTAGTTATGGATAAGTTGACAAGAAATATTCAGGATGATATACCATAGTGTATGCTTTTGCAGATGATATTGTGTTAGTAGATGAGACTAGAGAAGGAGTTAACACTAAGTTGAAGACTTTAAGAGAAGCACTTGAATCTAAAGCATTTAGAATAAGTAGAACTAAGACAGAGTACATGGAGTATAATTTTAGTAACAATAACAGTGGAAGTAGACGAGAAATAAAGATTGAGAACCAAAAACTACTTAATAGTGAATATTTTCGTTATCTAGGATCGATTATCACAATGGTTGGGTAGATTGGAACGGATGTGGTCCATAGAATTAAGGCGGGGTGGTTTAAGTGAAGGAGTGTGCCTAGGGTATTGTGCAATAAACGAGTACCCACTAAATTAAAAGAAAAGTTCTATAGAACGGTTATTAGATCAATGATGTTGTATGAGATAGAATGTTAGGAAAGTAAGGAACAATATGTAGATAAAACGAGTGTTGCTGAGATGAGAATGCTAAGGTGGATACGTAGCAAGACTAGAAAAGCCAAAGTTAGGAATGAGTATGTTCATAAATGGGTAGGAGTAATATCAATAGAAGATAAGTTGAGAGAGAATAGATTGAGATGGTTTGATTATATACAATAAAGACCAATAAAGGCAATAATGAAGAGATGTAATATAGTGACCGTAGATGAAAATATTAGGGAAAATAGCTAACCTAGATTAACGTGGGCTAATATAGTAAATAGAGATATGAATCTTCTTAATTTAACTAAGCTAATAGTCGTTAATAGAGTCGGATAAGAAAGAAGGATTCATATAAGCGATCACATTTGATAGGACTTAAGATTTGGTTTGGTTTAGTATAAAACAACTTGATAGTTGTCACATAATAAAGTCTTTTTTGGCAATATCTAAAAAAATAAGTTGTTAACTTTATTTGGCTAACGAGTAAACTCCTTAAACCCATCCTCCACCGATTTCGGAATTAACTACCTAATATCAGTTAATCGGAGTTGGAAGAGGGGCAAACCTTGAGTGTATGCATCGACTCTACAACGTACACACCATTTCAGTCAGAGAGTTCAGTTGCTAGGATGTGATCCCACACCAAGTCCTGAATACGAGTTGTCCAGCACTTAGAGAACCGTCCTATAACCACTGCACCAAACTCCTAGGAGTTGGCCTTAGGGAGTGTAAAACCTAGAACCTCAGCTCTTATACCCTAAAATCTTACCAAAATGCCACAACCCTTTAAGCTATAATTTATTAATTTATTAACTTATTTAGATTAGGGAGCTTTTTTGATAAATCCATTTTCTAAGAGTTTTATCCCATCCAACCCATATTCTTTTTGACTATTCCATTAGGTCCAATTTGATATAAGAAGACCAAAATACCCTTTTCATCTACTTATATTCCATTTAGTTCACATTATTTTCTTATATTTCAATAAGTCCTATGCTCTTCATATATACGACGCAGCCAATTAAAAACAACGGTAATAAACTTTAATACCTAAACTGGATAATAGTTTTAAAAAATGAAGAACAATTCTTACTAAGAACATAAGTAAAATAAATTGCATATACAGAGGATACTGGCAGTCTAAACCAACAAGACTAATAAATCCACTAAAAAAAAGTGAATGAATAGAAATTGTTATGCAAGACCTTGAGCAAACATATGGTGGCCATTTAGTGCAATCGAATGGTGATATATGATTTAAGTGTATGCAAAGGATTGACATATGCAGTTGATTACACCAATTGAAATTTAAAAGTGAGCAAAAACATTAAAGAGTAAAATTAAATACCTCTGAAAAACTGAGATCCATTGAGAATTACATGGATGAGGTCCTGTCATCAAAATATTCAAGTCTTAGGAACTTAAGATGCAAGTAAAAATGAAAAAATCAGCTCTAATGAGTTACAAATTGCAACTTCCTGGGATATTCTAAGAAAAATATAACAAAAACAAAATGAATCAAGTAAACAAGACCAAAAACCAAAAAAGGTACCTAATAGATATATATGCACCAATAAAACGTAAAAATGATTGGCTGAAGTTTAAATACAAATCAAACCACGAGAATCATGAAATAAGAACATATTTAAGACCTATGAAGCACGGGTACTCCAAAAATAGTGCCGTACGAGTACCAGGTACTTACCGGGTGCGGGTACGCGTACCGGTACGGCAGTACGCGTACCGGGTACTGCAAAAGAGGGTCCGGTACGTTTGGCTTATTCGGGTACGGCATGGGTACGCCACGGGTACGCCGTGGGTACGCCGGGGCCATTTTTTTTTTTTTTTTTTTTTTTTGCCCTTTCTTGCAGATCAGCAATTTTGATGTTTCTCTATTATCCTGTCTATTTGTATGAATTATATAAGCATATCAACAAATGATTTTGATGTTTTTAAAAAGCAATTTGAACAAAAAAAAAATAACAAGGCTTGTAAAGGGCAGTTCTGTGTATGACTATGCATTATACTTTTGCTTCAAATCCTCCTAGAATTTCTTTATAAAATCTTTAATCATAACAAACTTTTAAAGTCGAGCCTCAATGTGCTCCCCTGTTCATCTGTTTCAGGCTCAGTGTAGGATGACACAGTGCTATAATATGGATTTTTGTGGTCTAGGGGTATAGAAACAGCTTGGTATGGAAGGTTGTGATGTGTTTAGAGCTCGAAACCGGATTCCTTCATTGAGAATTTGAACCATTGACAATGTCACTTTCATGATCGAGTGCTCAGGACAAAGAGCCCAAGTCTTACGAAGTCTTGCGAGCGATCAAAAATGAGATGTCTACTGAACCTCACTTCTATGCTCGAGTGACCACTTCACCGCTCGAGCAGCCTTGCCTGCAAATAGGCAAGCTACTGGGAGCTCCGCATCTCCGCTCGAGCAACCGACTTGACCGCTTAAGCGATCTCCTAGGAAAGATTGTTACAGATCAACCTTAGGTCTTTATCTTTTTACTTTAGTTATGGATGAGTTGACAAGAAATATTCAGGATGATATACCATAGTGTATGCTTTTGCAAATGATATTGTGTTAGTAGATGAGACTAGAGAAGGAGTTAACACTAAGTTGAAGACTTTAAGAGAAGCACTTGAATCTAAAGCATTTAGAATAAGTAGAACTAAGACAGAGTACATGGAGTATAATTTTAGTAACAATAACAGTGGAAGTAGACGAGAAATAAAGATTGAGAACCAAAAACTACTTAATAGTGAATATTTTCGTTATCTAGGATCGATTATCACAATGGTTGGGTAGATTGGAACGGATGTGGTCCATAGAATTAAGGCGGGGTGGTTTAAGTGAAGGAGTGTGCCTAGGGTATTGTGCAATAAACGAGTACCCACTAAATTAAAAGAAAAGTTCTATAGAACGGTTATTAGATCAATGATGTTGTATGAGATAGAATGTTAGGAAAGTAAGGAACAATATGTAGATAAAACGATTGTTGCTGAGATGAGAATGCTAAGGTGGATACGTAGCAAGACTAGAAAAGCCAAAGTTAGGAATGAGTATGTTCGTAAATGGGTAGGAGTAATATCAATAGAAGATAAGTTGAGAGATAATAGATTGAGATGGTTTGATCATATACAATAAAGACCAATAAAGGCAATAATGAAGAGATGCAATATAGTGACCGTAGATGAAAATATTAGGGAAAATAGCTGACCTAGATTAACGTGGGCTAATGTAGTAAATAGAGATATGAATCTTCTTAATTTAACTAAGCTAATAGCCGTTAATAGAGTCGGATAAGAAAGAAGGATTCATATAGGCGATCACATTTGATAGGACTTAAGATTTGGTTTGGTTTAGTATAAAACAACTTGATACTTGTCACATAATAAAGTCTTTTTTGGCAATATCTAAAAAAATAAGTTGTTAACTTTATTTGGCTAACGAGTAAACTCCTTAAGCCCATCCTCCACCGATTTCGGAATTAATTACCTAATATCAGTTAATCGAAGTTGGACGAGGGGCAAACCTTGAGTGTATGCATCGACTCTACAACGTACACATCATTTCAGTCAAAGAGTTCAGTTGCTAGGAATCCCACACCAAGTCCTGAATACGAGTTGTCCAGCACTTAGAGAACCGTCCTATAACCACTGCATCAAACTCTTAGGAGTTGGCCTTAGGGAGGGTAAAACCTAGAACCTCAGCTCTTATACCCTAAAATCTTACCAAAATACCACAACCCTTTAAGCTATAATTTATTAATTTATTAACTTATTTAGATTAAATCACCTCTATAATTTTTTACATAAATTTTCATAATAAATAAATAAAAAATCAATTTAGATATTCAAACCACTTTGAGTGATGTACAACCATACCCGAAAATCACCAAATAATCACTTTAAGAGGAAGAGGTCAATTGTCAAACACAAGTGGAGTAGCCACACAAAGAACGCATTAGTGGCCGACACGACAAGAGTTATCCCCCACTAAAACTGAGTGTAATTTGTCTTCGATGCCCTCCCTCAATCAATTAAGGACCACACGCACACACGCTCATAACCCCAAAAGAGGAAGCTTCGTTGCAGCAGCAACAGCAGGGCAAAACTGGAAATCCAACTGCATATTTATTTATCTGTCTACTCCTCAGCATCAACATCTTTTATAAAATTACAAAATTTTTTGTTGTTTGGATCTCATTTTCTCGGTATCCAAACAACCAGATCATATCATGGACTCAACCTACTCCCACCACAAAACCAGCACCAATCACCCCGAAAAGCAGCAGCAGCACCAGCAACATCATGATCAACAGCTGCAATCAGCCTCCTCCGATCTGCTTTCGAGCGCCAAGTTAATGGCCGAGGCGGCCAAAGCAGCGCTCAACCACGAAACGGTGGACACGGGCAGAGTCGCCGGAGCCGCTGCAGATCTCCTCGAAGCCGCCTCTCATTACGGCAAACTGGAGGAGAAGAGCTTCGGAAAATACGTCGAGAAGGCCGAGGATTATCTTCACCAATACCACTCTTCCCATTCCACCACCACCACCACCACCAACGCCTCCGGAGACACCACCACCACCACCTCGACTCATTCATCATCGCATTCACATCCAAACCCACGTCCATATTCAGGTGGTGATGAGGATGAAGATGGCAAATCTGGAAGTGGTGGTGGGTATGGAGAGTACTTCAAGATGGCTGAAGGATTCTTGAAGAAGCATTGATCCACAAATTTCGGATTTGGATCTCTTGTTTGTTTATGGTTTTATATTTGTATGTGGTGTATTCGAATTTCTATGTTGTTTGTTTGTTTGTGTTTATGAATTGTTTAGATTGTGGAATATAAATGTGACAAACTTGGTAGATCTGATTCTATGTACCAAAATCATCTTTATATCTTTATTTTCATATTGTAATTCATGTTGTATTGTAGTTGTTGTTCCAATTCTTCACGGAATTTCAAAATTTTTGTTAACCTCCTTTTAATGACAATAAAATGATTGATATGAGATCTGGAATAACTCCGGGATAGGGAGATAGAGAATCAATTAAAGAAGTCAATTCACTGCTATTTCGACCCAAGAACACGCGAGAGAGAGAGAGAGAGAGAGAGAGAGAGAGAGAGAGAGAGATTTTTTTAGAATTATTGTAAAATGATCTTGACCACCCGTTCGGATTGAATGATTTGGGGTCAATCACCTTTAAAGAGGGACGAAATGAAAAAAAAAAAAAAAAAAAAATTAAGAAAAAATGATTTTTCATAAAACTTAAACCTCATTCGAAAACAGTTATTTTAGTAATTTTTCTTTTATTTTTTAGTTAAATTATGAGGTAAAAAAATTACTATTGCATATTTGAAATAAATTTTTGACTTTTTATAAAAAGATATGCGAAAAGTAAAGTAAAAATGAAATATTTAACTTTTTGTATAAGTTGTTAGTTTTTTAATTTTTTTTAGTGACTTTTTAATTTTTAAGCTAAAATCTTGAGTGGCCAAAAGAGACATTAGAATATGCTTGATTTGATTTTTCACAATTTATTTTAAAAAAAATTGTCGTTTATATTTAGTAAATTTTTTTATACTTCAATTAATTTTTTTTTTGTAAATTTAAGTTTCACCTAATTTAGAAGAAAATTTACTCATAAATCTCATATAGTAATTTTTGATCCATTTAGTTGTAAGAGTTTTCTTATGAACCAGTTAATTCTTCTTGTTTTGAAAAGTTGTATTTATTTGATTTGGTAAATACCTTTTTGTGATTTATTTTTTTAATTTTGTTATTCATTTTTGGGATGAGAATGGAAATGTGAGGTGATGTATGGAAAATTCTTTTTAGAAGGATTAGTAGTTGATGTGTTTGTTCTCAAACGTAAAAATTTACATTTCTGTCAGTGTGATTTTCTGGTGTTACATTGAAATATCACATTATAATGTTACATTTGAAAAAAGTACACTAATATTGTGTTTGATTGATGGATTTATGAAGGGATTTGGAAAGGGAAAAAGAAAATATATATGAAATGTAAATAAAATATACATATATATCACCTACTTTCACACACCTTTTCCTTTTTTCTTTTCAAATCTATTTCCAAATTCCCTAACCAAACATAGCGTAAGGAGTTTTTTTGTGTTACATTGATTGGAATGTTACATTTGTGAAAAATACATTAAAGAGTTTTTTTTTTTTTTTTAAATGTCACTTTTGAGAAAAGTATACTAAGGAGTTTTTCAACGTCTTACATTGGAGTGTTATGCTTTTTGAGTATAGCATTAGAGTGTTACGTTTGAAAAAAGTGTATTAAGGAATTTTTATTTTATCTATCTATCTATCTATCCTATTATAAAGTGAACACCTCTTACGATGTCTTGAAACCTTTGTTTCTTATGCTGCCACATGTCTAACTTTTTTGTTTGAAATAAAAAAAAAAAAAATTAGATAGATGAGAGGAGGGGTTTGAACGTTAGACTTATGTTAAATGAATAAAACTCTTACTACTTAACTAGCACACAATATATGATAAATGTTTTATTTTATTTATATTTATTTGAATTGTACACGCATCGCGTGTGGCAACCGCTAGTACTATTATAAAGTGAGCATCTCTTTTGGTGTCCTGAAACTTTGTTTCTTATACTGCCACATGTCCACTTTTTTTATTTAAAATTAAAAAAAAAATTAGATAGATGAGTGAAAGGGATTTGAACCTTAATTAGACTTATAAGATCAAATGAATAAGACTCTTACCACTTGACTAGCACACAATATATAATAAATTTTTTATTTTATTTTTATTTATTTAAATAGCACACGCAGCGCGTGTGGCAACCGCTAGTTTTTTAAGTGTTAACGTTTAATAGTTTCAATATTCAAATAAAAATCTGTCTCCATTTTTGTTCATAGTTTTGTTTATTTTTAGTGAATATTTTTTATATTAATTTTAAAAAAAAAAATTTGTCGGTACATGTTATCTTATGTAACTACAAAATAAAAATAAAAATAAAAAATTTGACTATAATATGAAAAAAGTACAATAAAGATAAACAGAAAGTTGTTTAAAATTACAGAAATGCGCCGGACCCCCAGCAAATGTGACCCCCACCGACCCCCAGTGCCACGTGGCACTGCGGGATTGGGAGAAAGAAAAAAAAAAAAAAAAAACAGAAAACTGGCCAATGAAGGCCCGCCACGTCACTGGGGGGGTCGACCCCCAGTGGAGGTCTGTAGCAGCACTGTTAAAATTAATGTCTCAAAATTTAAACCAATCAAAGCCTAAGATCCCTTCTCATAAAAACATAAAATTTTCTTATTTTGGTAATTTAACATGTGATATTTTGTTCTGTTTTGTTTTTTATTTTATTTTATTTTATTTTTGTTAACGTAATCAGTTCAAAATAGATAGGAGTTTATTATTATTATTATTGTTATGTAATCTGTTTAAAAATAGATAGGACATAGTTATTATATATGTATATATACACAATTACATGTATGCAACCTCCAAATCTTATCCTCATGCCATATGATAGATTTTTATATGTTAAAATAAAAAATTATTATATTATAATTGTGTGTGCAAAAAATATAAAAAATATTACTTGACTAAAACCATGAGGTTTTGCGTGATTTATGGGCATGCCAAGGTAATAATGCCTAAGTTGTGAAAATATACTTGGAAAAATTTAACTTTTAAAACAGGAGGTTGTGTGAGACTCATATGGATAAAATATAAAAAATAAAAAAAAAAACTTGTTGGTTCTTATTTTGTCTCAATTAAGAGGACTTGAAATCTCTATAAAACTTTAAAGGTTAAAAAGAGAGGTAAATAAAGGGAAATGAACACCAAAACACATACTTTATGAATTCAACAGATTGAAAATTACAAATGTATAAAAACAAGTTTGAAAACATGAAATTGAGTTACAAAATGAATGTAAACACAATTGAAGTCTCAAAACAATGCCTATGAAAATCAAAAAAAAATAATTTGACACAGATGTTATAGATAAAAAAAACTAAAGCTAAATCTATGCAAAGATGCTTTTGAAGTATACTCCTAAGTTAAACTAAGAGTAAACTAAGGATAAATAGCACTGGGCTCACTACAACAAAAAGTATTTTTCGTGACGTTTTTTAGCAACCAAATTGAATTTAGTTACCAATTGTATATTTTTGGCGACAATATACGTGTTGGTCGCCAAAAAATACACTATTAGCAACAAATATCTCAATTGGTTGCCAAAAATGGTTGGCGCCAATTTAATTTGTTGGGCGGGAGCGCTAAAAAAGTTTTGGCGACGAAATTAATATATGGCGACGAAACTGTTTCTCGCCAATTGTGACTTTTTGGCGACGGGATTAAAATAGTCGCTAAAAGGTGAATAATATTTATGGCAACATAATGATTTTCATCGCCAATAAATATCTTGTCAAAACGATGTCGTTTTGAATCTGTCTTTTTTTTTTTAATGACCTTTAGGTGAATAAATAAGATTGACCTAAAATGAGTCTTCTTCGTCTTCTCATTCCACAACCTGAAGCGGCACAACAGAAGACAAAGAGGTATGTCTTCTCTCCCTCTTCTTCGTCTTTCTTTCCCTCTCCCTCTCCTTCTCCCTCTCGCTCTCACTCTCTCACACTGTCTCATCTTCCTCTCTTTCTTCTTTATCACCGATTTCATTCTCTTGTTCGGCATTACAGAACACAACACAACATTGATATTGGGACTAATTTTTCCCTCACTCTCCCATCTTCCTCTTTTTCTTCTTTGTCATCAATCTAATTTTTCGGACTCATATTCTGATTTTTCGGACTGATATTGTGATTTTCGGACTGATATTGTGATTTTCGGGACTGGTATATTCTGAATTTTGGACTGATTTTGGAACTGATTTTTGGATTTCGGGGCTGATATTCTGATTTTGTATTTTTTGGGGACTGATGTTATAATTTTGGGTATGGATCATCTGGTTTAAGAGGGTATAGTAGTTTCAGGCTCTGGATCTGAACGCGTAGAAGGATAGAATTGAGGATAAGTTATGTATTCTATTCTATTCTAGTCAGAGTTGAGTTTCCTTTTCCCACCATTTAACCTGAAATTGCTTTTAGAATGAGTGTAGTTTGTGTAAAAGCTTATCCTTCTGTTTTTATTTTTTTGAACTGAATATATATCAGTAATGTCACGACCCGCTCCTCGTACCCAAGGGTTAAGTATCGTGATGGCCAGTAACCGAGGTTACCTCCGGCCAATTCTTAAACAAATTAATAAACGCAAGCGGAAGAAATATTTAAGTAAGGGTACCAAAATAATCATTGAAGTTTCTATTTTTATTACAAAATTATGTTGACCAAAAAGGCTGATATTTACATATAAAAATAGAATAAAAGTGTTGTATGTGTCTATTCTGCAGCCCCGCATCTAAGACTTTCCAAAAGCTATTTTTAAATTGCATTGTTTCCTAAAAATTGGTAAACAACTATAAGCACATGGCAGAGTGAAAAATATTATACCAAGAGTATAACGAACACGAAATAACCATGGATAGTTAGTTAGGCCAAAACATTTACATAACTTGGTCGGAACAAATAATCATTTAAGGAGCAAAACCGAGATTATGTAAATAAATCATTTAAGTGACAGAAGCTGAAATACAGAAATTATGTAAGTATATAACCATAACCACGGTACTAAACAGAACAGAACAGAGGTCACAGAAGTGACAGTCAGAACAGAGGTACGGATTCAAGAGGTGGTTCGTACGGATTCTAGATGTGGCTCCCACAATAGTGTAGCACTTAGCTCCGCATAGTACTTTGTTCCGCACAAAACAGATGTTAATGGATCAGAGGGTCACAAAGTAACCAAATAGAGGTCAATGGTTATTTAAGTCCCCAAGGCATAGGACTCCTGTGGTAGGACTTACAAAACATAATGGTATATAAGGTCATAATCAAATATTCTTTAAAAATAAAACAAACATATCCATAGGTTTCTTTTTAAGCAAATAGGATTCAGAAATAAAATGACGTAACTGAAATATTAATATAGTTTATAATAATTTATAATAGTTTATAAAATATAACTTGTATAAAATAAGTATGATAAGTCAAAATAAGTAAAATACATTTTAATGACTCAAAATATAATATAATTCACCTTAATTTTAATATTTTACACTTTCTTTCCATTATCAAAAATCCTCTCAGCTTCCTGTATATTTTCTTCCTCCTTTCTCTCTTTCTTTTCTTCTTTCATTTCTTTCCTTTTCTTTCTTCTTTCGCTCTTCAGATCACCTCCCCCTTTTTATAGGGAGATGAACGCAACACCTGGCCAACACGTGGTCAGGCCGAAATTATTGCACAAATTCGATTATAATTTCGTAGATTCATTCTTATCTTTAATAGATATTTAAGATAATTATTATTTAATTTAATATTTTAATATAATTATATAAATAAATTAATTCCTAATTAAATTATATTTTATCATATATTAACAGAAAATTAATTATTTATTTTATTACCACACCTATTATTATTATTATTATTATTTATCTATATTATTATTTATATTTTGACCCCTCTGTTATCAAATTTAAATTCGATGAAAAATGCTTGAGCTCCAACCATTTCATCAAATTGATATCAAATACAGAGAAAGTTACTTTTTTCATCAAATCAAGGGAGTTTTATCTTTTCATCAAATTTGTAAGTGACCCTTAGGCTGAACGTCCGCTCGGACATCCTCTTGAACAACCAGTTTTGAAATGAATTTAATGAAAATTTACTCTAGACCAAATAATCCGCCAGACAATCACCCATATTTGATGAAAATAGTGGAATATATCATATCAAATCAAACTTTTTAACAAGTTTTTACTCAAATTTGATGAAGCATTGGAGATAATCTTACAAGAGACAATTTCTATGATTTTTTTTTATGTTGTAATTTTCTCAAAATTTTAAAAATAATAATAATCCGCCAATGGAGAGGAGTCTTTTTTTTTTTTTCGTTTTGGGCTCACTGTTTGACTATTGTTCAACGACTATCTGTGTCACGACCCGCTCCCCGTACCCAAGGGTTAAGTATCGTGATGGCCAGTAACCGAGATTACCTTCGACCAATTCTTAAACAAATTAATAAATGCAAGCGGAAGAAATATTTAAGTAAGGGTACCAAAATAATCATTGAAGTTTCTATTTTTATTACAAAATTATGTTGACCAAAAAGGCTGATATTTACATATAAAAATAGAATAAAAGTGTTGTATGTGTCTATTCTGCAGCCCCGCATCTAAGACTTTCCAAAAGCTATTTTTAAATTGCATTGTTTCCTAAAAATTGGTAAACAACTATAAGCACATGGCAGAGTGAAAAATATTATACCAAGAGTATAACGAACACGAAATAACCATGGATAGTTAGTTAGGCCAAAACATTTACATAACTTGGTCGGAACAAATAATCATTTAAGGAGCAAAACCGAGATTATGTAAATAAATCATTTAAGTGACAGAAGCTGAAATACAGAAATTATGTAAGTATATAACCATAACCACGGTACTAAACAGAACAGAACAGAGGTCACAGAAGTGACAGTCAGAACAGAGGTACGGATTCAAGAGGTGGTTCGTACGGATTCTAGATGTGGCTCCCACAATAGTGTAGCACTTAGCTCCGCATAGTACTTTGTTCCGCACAAAACAGATGTTAATGGATCAGAGGGTCACAAAGTAACCAAATAGAGGTCAATGGTTATTTAAGTCCCCAAGGCATAGGACTCCTGTGGTAGGACTTACAAAACATAATGGTATATAAGGTCATAATCAAATATTCTTTAAAAATAAAACAAACATATCCATAGGTTTCTTTTTAAGCAAATAGGATTCAGAAATAAAATGACGTAACTGAAATATTAATATAGTTTATAATAATTTATAATAGTTTATAAAATATAACTTGTATAAAATAAGTATGGTAAGTCAAAACATAAGTAAAATATATTTTAGTGACTCAAAATATAATATAACTCACCTTAACTTTAATATCTTACTCTTTCTTTTCACTATCAAAAATTCTCTCAACTTCCAATATATTTTCTTCCTCCTTTCTCTCTTTCTTTTCTTCTTTCTTTTCTTTCCTTTTCTTTCTTCTTTCTCTCTTCAGATCACCTCTCCCTTTTTATAGGGAGATGAACGCAACACCTGGCCAACACGTGGCCATGTACAGATTCGATTATAATTTCATAAATTCATTCCTATCTTTAATAGATATTTAAGATAATTACCATTTGACCTAATATTTTAATATAATTATATAAATAAATTATTTTCGAATTAAATTACATTTTATCATATACTAATAGAAAATTAATTATTTATTTTATTACCACACCTATTATTATTATTATTATTTATTTATCTATATTATTATTATTTATATTTTGACCCCTAAACTTTTAATAATTATATTATTTTACAAAATTACACATAATAATATGTAATAAATTATATATTTTCCGAACTGAGATTAAATAATATTAGTATAAATTCTATAGAATAATTAAACATCTAGATTGTTACAAGTAAAGTTGTTGAACTGATAGTATGATGTTAGTAAATGGCTAAGCATTGAAGAATTCAAAAGTGCAACCAATAAGAAAAGCCCATTGTTGAATCCAAAAGTGGTTGGTTGCATTAGGAAAGCCCTCTTCCAATGATCAGTTAAATTGGTTGGTTGCATTGGAAGAGGGCATACCACTCTGGAAATTGGTTGGTTGCAGTCCTATTAAGTGTTTTATAATTAGTTCTTTTCTCGTCACATTGTCCAGGAGGTAATAACATTGAGGATCTGGCTTCTATTGATTCACTAAATTATTTTCCTAACTTGATGGTAAGGCTTTGTAATGTGAGCTGTTTGGCGTGTTCTTAAACTTCTGATCAATTATTGGATTTGACATAAATCTGTTTTGCAGTGGTGTAATGTTGAATCATATGAAAATTTAATAATGAACATTGGGTCCAAATTGCTGCCTGCTATAACTACTTGAATTATTCTTTTTAATCCAAGTATTTTTGAGTTGTTATGTGTTGCTACAGGACTATGTTATTTATTAATTACAAAACCATGTTTCCAATTCAGAGTAAAGTCTGTGACTAACTTTGTAATGTTTTCAAATCACTTTTTTTTTCTAGTAGTCTATATGGTTTTTGTTGACCCTTGGTTTTGTCTGCTGTAACAAATATTTGCCATGTCAGGTCCATCTGCAGGTTGATTACCCATTTAGTGGACTTCATCTGTTATTTGATTTTTTTCCCCCTTAAAGAAGGAAATGTATGATTTAAGAGGATAATGTTGAGTTTTACAACAATACTTGTTATGGGGGTATGAGGTGCTCTAGAGTTAAGTTGATTGGAAACTTAAAAAATATTTCTTCTTCTTTTATTTATTTATGTTGCTACAGGACTATGTTATTTATTAATTACAAAATGTATGATTTTTTTTTTTTTTTTTTAGGGAATACTTACATCTAGTTAACAATATTTCTTCTTCTTTTATTTATTTGTTTTATATTATATATACAAGCAACTAAGAATCCTGTTATAGGTCCAGTTAAAATTGATTAGACACTGCTGGAAAAATGACTTTTAGCGGCGCTATATGTATGAAAAACGCCGTTAATTCCTTTAGTGACGCTTACCACCAAACGTCGAGGACGCAGCCGTCGCTATAAGTTTATGACGCTTTAAAAACGTCGTAAAATTAGTATAGGCGGCGTTTTATAAACGCCGCTAAAATATGGCAGCCAACGGTAACATGACGTCACAGGCATTCAGCGACACTTCAAAAACGTCGTAATAGCTTTTTTGTTATTTTAAAAATATAACTATAGTGGCGTTTTGAGAAACGCCGCAATAGATGTATATATATATAATTTTTTTTTTTTGTAAAACTACTAATTTTGTAAGATTTAACTTTAAAAATATACCTGTAAAATAGCAATAATGAATAAAACTTTGTACCCAATACAACATCCTTCAAGAAAAAAATCTAATAAGTTCAATCCCAACATCATTCTACCTGTGTATGTTTTATCTTGGGCAAAAACATTAAATAGAGAGAGTATAATATCTACAGAAAAGCTCATCATCAACAGTCCAGTAGAAATTAAAAGAAACAAATGCCAAAGGAATGAAATTATATCCCACCAAATGCATTTAAATTGTTTATTGATAGAACATTTTTAGAACACATCAGAGGATTTACAAAGAACCCACAAATCTCTGTTGTGTTTTATACAAGTGCATGAATCAATCACAAAAAGAAAAATAAAATAAAATCTGTGATTTCTCAAATCAATGTCTTCAATTTGGAATGTTCACCATCTCAGCTTGGCTGGGAAATACTGCAAAAAAAAGTTCACTAATTAAGAATGCGAAAAATCAAGATAAAAAAAGAAAAAATTCGAAAAATAGATGTGCATAGAAACCAGTCACGGAACTCATAAGATGCTCCTTGTGAGTGAACTGTTCTGTAAATGGTTTCTACACACCTAGTTTCCTGACTAATGTAGTGCTCACCTTCTCAATAAGAGAAAGATAGTATGGCTTGACCTTCTCGACATCAATGCGCACTTTGCTCTTACTATAGAGTTCATATTTGCTGCATAAATTCGAGAAAGTTTATGCAAAACAGTAAACTTTGTTAGTTATATTAGCATAACACATGAAATTAAAAACAAAATGCTAAAAAACAGGGGTTACTTGAAAATTTTCAGCCACTTCAAATTCTCAACATCATCCGCATTCATCAAATGTGTGTATGCTCCTGACTTGTGTAATGCTGCAAGATGAATGACCCAGATATTCATGTTATTCATTAAAATAAAACTAATTTTTGGAATTTGAAAAAAATATTTTGGCATAAATGCTTACGATAAAAAGAGTGGTATTGGATGATGAACAATGCAGTTGGAGGCAAAGTCGTTTCATTTTCCTTAGCCACCTGAAAAATGAAAATCCAAATTACATTAACAACCTGTTTTTATAGCATTAAAGATCAAAATTTGACTAAATACTTGAATATTTTCTAAAGGGGTGAACTGAGGCACATACCAAATACATGTAATCGTCATGCACCCTATCCGCTGCTGTTCTAGTTTACATATGATAGAACCCTATCCACTGCTGTTGAATAGCAGTTTTCAAGGCATTTTCTACATACCTCAGGATAATAATTGCTGTCAATCTTTTGAACTTTTGTGAAGATATTCCTTGCAAGCTTTGAGAAATTAGAGAGACCCTACGCAAAGAAGATAAACTGGTTTTATTTAAAGGTAGCTAAAAGCGCATCAAGATTATGGATGATGACAATAAATTATTTTTTGAGAGCTTTTGAGAATCTGTCACGAGAACAGCTCTTAAAATAAAATGAAATCAATTCTTCACAAGTTTGCAAGTGTATATGTTTATAATCTGTGTTTGGGAATTATAACAACTTTCAATGACACCAATCCATGTGTAGCAATAATACCCTGATAAATACACATACAGACAGGTAGTGTTTTACAATCCGAGCAGGACTCACATGTTTGGCAGTCGTTTGTAAAGGTGTCGGCCCCACATCACACAAACCAATGACTGCTGAACATGTGACTCTTGTTCAGCTTATAATTCGCAGTGTAGATCATTTTCCTAACATTCCATATCAAATCTGAACGCGAAGTCTTAACTTCTATATTCATTCTTTCTAAAAATTCTATTTAAGCGAATAGTACATAACTACAATATGATGATAATAATCTAACCTGTAACCGCTGCCAATGGAAAATAATTATAATTCCTAATTTCCAAGGATGCTTTTCAAGATTAAACATATGTTTTTACATAATGAAACCTACAACTGTTTGACAAGCCAATTATTGAAGACAATCAGAACTATATTCAGCATCCAAACAGAACTAAAGACACTATCAAATTAATGTGTTTGCATAAATAAGACTGAAAAATAGAAACAAGTTGAGTTGCTCACCACACCCTTCACATCTAAGATGCTTGTGGTGGAAGCTATATGCTTCTTTGCTGATACCGAGCATGCAGGGTATCTCCAATTCAATGTTTTCTCTTGTTCAAACACGTGATACTTCATAAATCTATCGATAGTAGTTATTTGCAAAAAGGCATTAAGATCTACCATTCCAACCCTTTCTATGTACAGTGGTCTTCCATACTTATCAACTCCATGAAATCCATGAGGATAGCATTTCTTAACCTCTTTGTACTCTTCGAACTTAAATTCCTGCAGTATATATTAAACAAAGAATTCCACAAGAATCAACAAATATAGTTTGAGCAAGAAGGCAGTGTATTTGATTAAAGAGGACTGCCAAATAGATTTTTTGATTTTCTGAATGGGATAATGAAAAAACTAACTATATAAAAAAAAAATACTAATATTTTTTTTGCAAGAAGGCAGTGTATTTAACAATTTTGCAAGGTTTTACTATTATTTTTTTTATTAAAAAAAAATTACTAATATGTTAAGTTCAATGAGGTAAGCATCATAATTTGTGTTTTTACAGTTAGGCATCATCAATATTCATAGAGAAACAGTCATTATCTTATCATCATGATGCTTCCAAACGGCATCAAAAGCATATATTATACACAGGTTTCAAAATTCACGAACTCAAAAAAAAGAGAGAGACACTTCCTGTCTAGACCTGCCATAGTAATTTGAGTGAATGCATATTAGTACCTATTCTTCATAAGCAACAGCCTTTTCAGGGGGAAAAATTGAAAGTAAATCAATTATATTATCTAAGGACAGCAAATATGATCTAGACTTCCACTCATGCGCATCAAAATAGTTCCAACAACAAATTGCTACAGGTAGATAGTCTGAAATTCACCTTTACAGTTGTATCAACTTCAAATTCTTCTCGCCATTTAAGATATTGTAAAAACATATCTTTTGCTTTCATCAGATCAAAATCCCTCATTCGCAAAAATCTGACATGACATCATGGAAGAAAACCACTGTAAATATATGTAATAGTAAAATTACTCCAAACAGAACATCATCTTTGCCCGATTCACACTTCACCACACAGTACTCAAACAATGCTACATAAAGAGCTTAACAAACTTCATTGAAACTACTTCATCCCAGAAGGAGGCTAATTATTTATGTATGTAAAAATGTCACAGCAGAAACATACCGTAAAAGTGTGGTAATCACTGTGTTTCCCTGGCAGATGGCCCTCGAGCAAAAGCAATTCACGGAAAGATTGAACAATTTGATCATCTTTTGGATCACGAGCTTCTTTGGGAACTGCTAGCAAGCTTTGGCTCTTTCTAATTCTCTTTAGTGAATCCCGAATCTTGAGTGGGTAAGACAACATGGACTTGCAATTTAAGTTTAATGAAGACAATTTCTTGTACTCCTTTTGAGGAGGTAAATTCCAATGGCTTTCTATAGGTGGATAGATAGATTTAGCTTTCTCTTTAGCAGAATTAGTATCCTCAAAACTAGAGGACTGCTTGCTCCCCACAGAACCTTTTGATATAACTATTCCTTATTTCTCTCCCTTGAATTATGCATATGTACTTATCAAAGCTATCAAGGAATGAAAAAGACTGAGAATTTCTTCTTTCACATCCAATCCTATTGTACCCAAATCATGTTCTTGCTTAGAAATTATCTATAACCAACATTTCAAAGTCATGTAACGGAAACATGCAAGAGCAGAATCTATAGCAGCAAGAACACAACAACTCCCTTCTAGAACTCTGTTGAATCCGAAGATTTTCTGAATATAATAATAGAAGGTAAAGAAAACTGTCAAAAAAATTCTGATATGACTATTTCCCTAAATCTGTTCTTTGATTTATGCATATGCACATATAAAATGGACAATAACTTCTTCTTCTAAATCCAATCCTTCCATACCCAGATCAAGTTTTTTTATTTATTTATTTATTAAATGACCTAGATTACAAAAAAAGAATAACACTCTTGTTACATAGTACCTAATGAATTCAGAAAGTGATATATTGGCAGACACTTCATCGACTTTTTATTGTCAATGCTGGATCTGGTTTTAGGGTCCTCTGGAAAGCACTCATAAATAAAAAAGAACAAGAACAACATTCACCATTCACCATTCACCATTCACCATTCACCATTCTGTTCCGGTATAGCCGTATAGGACAACAAGAGAACGAGATTGTACGGAACAGTATTACACAATAAAAGAGTCACAATTTTATATTAAAAAAATAATATTTAAAAGAAAAAATAATATTTAAAATAATAGTAGCCACAGGGCCTTCAACCTTCACCCATTCATGTGAAGTTGCATACTTCAACCCTTCTAGAACTGCAAAAAATTCACACAATTTCATGTATATATATAAAGAAAAAAAGAAAAAAAGAAAAAAAAAACCAGAAAATATGAAGAAAGAGAGAGAGAGTACCAACAGAGAGGCATCTAGAGAGAGAGAAGGCAGGAGAGAGATGAGATTTGGAAGCAAAAGAGAGTCTAAGTGCATTAGCTGTGGAAGAAGCCCACATTCTCAGTGCCATAGTACTAGTATCTCCTTTAATTTTACTTGCTTCTCTATCTCTGTTGTTTGCTCAAAGAGAAAGGGGAGGCTCCATATATTTTGCTGGTTTTATCTTTGATGAATGGTGGTCAATGAAAGCCTCATCCTAGGAGTTTAGGACCCTCACTCCCAAGCCCATAGTAGTACATTCATGTATGTATTTATGTTGTTATCATGTGATAATTCTTTGTTATCCTTATATGAATTCATGGAAAATGCAACATTTTTAGTCTACATTATTTGAATAACATGTTATATATGTATTTAGAAATAAAAATATTTAATAGATTATTACAAATTTAAAATGATTTTACTAGAATTATATGTATCTATTGATTTTACTTAACAAAAACATACAAATGATTTAGATTGAAAATAAATCAAAAGTTCAAGATATAAATTGACAAAATTTAAAAAGAAGAAGAAGGGTATGTGCAATTCAAGTCAAAGTATTACAACAAGCTTGTATTGTGATGTTTTCAAACTATATCCTATATGTTGATCAAATGGTAGACTCATGTTATATTGTACACACAACAGCAGATTTCTGGGAGGGATTTGTGCAAATTAAAGTGAACAAATTTAAGCTTCTAGAATTGTCATTTCAATAGAACCATTTGGCCCAACTAGAATTGTCATTTCAATGCTATAACATAGGTCCTTATAGGCAAACTAATTGCAAAAAAGAAGCAACAATTCTCACTAGTGATCAGCTACTCCAGGAAATGCACAAGCAAGAAACCTAAGAATTGCAGGACTGCAAAGCATATCAAATGCATAAGATAGTCAATATAACCTTAAAAACAGAATGTATAATTCTCACCAGTGATCAGCTACGCCGTGATATCTTCTTTTCTTTTTTTTTTTGAAATTGTGCTAATTTTTCATCTAATCAGCTAGTTTCGACTCTCAAGTATTATATTTCATGAATAAATGATGTTTTCTTTTTCTAATCTACAACTTGAAAACAAAAGAGTCATTAATCTCATAATCAACAACCATATCCAATGTTCTCAACAACAAAAAAAAAAAACAAAAAAGGCAGCCATTTCCAAAGCCATTTGGATTTTATATTCATAACTTCCTCCCATGATGGTACGCTTGAATGCAACTCTCTCTGCAGTCTTATATAAATAATTGAAAATTGAACTTTCTAGACACCAACATATCCTCTCATATTACACAGTATCTCCCAATGATATACAAGAATCATACACACAGATACCTCAGAGAGCGAGAGCCACTTGAGTCAAATGCAACAAATTACAAAGAAATGTATCTCCGACATTCAACTTACAAGGATTAGAATACAATATTTACCTCCCAAAAAAAAGGAAAAAAGATAAAGATAAAGATAAATAGAGAAAGAAATTACCCAGCAACAGCGCAGGTATTTTAACCTTATCCACTACAAGGAAGCAACTGTACTGATTTCTTGCATTTCTTGTGTGTATTTTGGGTGTAACAAACTAACAAGTTGATGATTTTGCTGGTTTGTCCCAACTCCCAACAAAACCAATTGCAAATGTATTGTAAAGAAAAAAAGAAAAAAGAAAAAGAAACATGACAGGTAAAGAGTATTTCAAATCTTTAGTTCAAAACAAGCAAAGCATTTCAAGAAAACAACATAATAGTGTGGAAATGCCTATATATATACATATATGTATATAAGTATATATATCATTTATTAAAGAGTACCTGGATCTTCAAGAACTCTTCTTTACTCATATTTTGAACTGAAATAGAACACAACCAGAAGGGTACAATAATGGAAAGACAAAAGCATAACCAAAAAATTCAACCTCGAAAATTTCAAATTAAAGTTTTTACCCAACATTGTTCTGCAAGCTGCCTGCTCCTTCGATATTCACTACTTCTGTAATACCCAAAAGCAAGAAGATAAAGCTTTTCCCTCATTTTGCAATGGGCTGCCACCATTGGCTAATGAGGCTGCCAAAGAAGAATTGTTTAGTTTCTGACAAGGGCTGAAATTTCATATACAAAATCACAAATAAACGCTCAGAATTTCAAAACAATACAAATATGGTAGGTCAACTGTATCTGTTCTGTGCAGCTTCCAACATCAATAAAAACTTAAAACACAAAGGTGCAGTGAAAAACAATAGAAAAGCAGCAATAGCATAAACAAAGCTAATCATGACTCCAAAGGGAATGATGGTGATTACTTCAAATACAAAAGTGGAATGATGGTGATTACTGCAGATACAAAAGTGGTAAACAACAAGAGGATGTCAAACGGAATGAGTGGAAAAATTAAACAAGATTGAAATCACAATTGTATGAGAACTATAAACTCCTTGCTGTAAAGAAAAATTATTTAGTACTGAATTTATTGGTTCGGACCTTCAAGCATAGCTATCTCACACTGCACATCTTTTGGTTGTTTGGAATGAACAAGAGCCCATGATAACCGCATAATGCTCTCACTCTTTAGTTCATCTGAGACACCATTTGCAGACTCTACAACTTCTCTCTCACAGCCCTACACATGAAAGACTTCAGAGCATAAACAAAAGTGTGGAAGAACTAGAGAAAATTATCTAAAACTTTACCTGTACCCCCTCAACAAGAATATCTAACAAATTACCTAAAACTGAACTAATCCGCAAAAACAGTACCAAGATGAGAGGTGAATACAGAGAAATCAATATTTGCTGCTCATCAGCCTCAGCCTCAGCCTCAGCCTCAGCTTTATCTAAGAAGACAAGAAGAAGAAGTGATGGAAAAGAAAAGAAAAGAAAGATGAGAGAGTGGAGCTCACAGATCTGAATCGCTGAGATGAACTTCGATTTCGATTTCGAGAGAGAGAGAACTTCGAAATGGTTGAATCACCGATCTGAAATGATCTGAATCATCGATCTGAAATTATCTGAACTTCGATTTCGAGAGAGAACTTCGAACTTCGAAACGATCTGAATCACCAATATGTTTCCCTGAGACAGATCTGAATCTATGAATCTAATTAGGGTTTAGACAACACACACACACACACACACACACACACACACACACAGAGAGAGAGGAGCTCACCGATCTGAAACGATTTTGAGATGAACTTCGATTTTGAGACAGTGGAGCTTGATGAACTTCGATTTTGAGACAGTGGAGTTCGAAATGGCTTTGAGATATTAATGGGGTTTAGACAGCAGAGAGAGAGAGAGAGAGATTTGGAGATTCAAGAATCAAGAGGGTGAAAAGAGTGAGAGAGGGAGCGCCTGAGAGATAACGCATTCGAAGGCGTTCAAAAACGTCTTCTATTTACGAAACGGTGCCGTTTTATTTAACGAAAAATACAACGTTTATAAAACGCCGTTACATATTATAAACGGTGGCGTTTTAAAAAACGCCGTTAAAAATACGCCACCACAACCCATATTTCCTGTAGTGAGATAAAGTCATAAAGGCACCAAGTAACAGTTATTACCTGTAAGAAAGATTACTGTAAAATGTGTGTTTTTCTCATTTAGCTCAAATATTAACAATAGCCACTAATGATGATATTTCCTTTTCCTCCAACCATTGAATCGCTTAGAAACGCCCGTTGGTTGCATTGGAAGAGGGCATTGGAAGAATCCAAAAGTGAATCCAAAAGTGCAACCAAAAGTGCAGATTTATTTACTTTTTATGAGGGCATGCCATTGTTGCTCCAAAAAGTTTAGGAGCACAGAAAATTTTCACAAAATCAAACATAGATATTTGAGTTTGATTTTGTGAGTAATGAATTCTACACTTGTCACTTTTTTATACCACATTAATGTGCCACTTCATGGTTCAATACTGTATTGAAAATAAACATGAGTGGTGAGCAGTGACAAAGTTAGAATTTCAAGAAGGCACAATTGAATTAAAATCTTGGTAAAAATCGCAATCTAACTTAATTTTTATTTGATGGTAAGACTAAAAATTAATGAGATTGCAAAGATATATTTAAATATAAATTTAGGTTAACTGGTTATTATCTGTATTATTATATTTAAATATAAGTTTAAGTTAACTAATCATTATTTGTATTATTAATAATTTGATCATATAACATTCATTTCATGTCCATTCTCCATTAATTTCATGTATAGTGCGATTTTAATTTAAACTTTGATTTACAATTCAAATGTTATAGGTTACTGGCTAATGCAAAGAGATAAAAAAGCTGCAATCATTCATTGGGGGCAATTACTACATCAAGTAAGCTTTGACTATATTTTAGGGCATTTTTAATTTATTTATCAAGTTAGTCATTTTAGTTTCTACACCTATGATCTTGAAACTATATATCCTTATTAAATTTAATAAGTCTGGTTGTCAAAAAAATGGGACTAGATGCGTCATTTAGCAACTTGACTATTTTAGTTGATTTTAAAATTTTTTTATGAAATGAAAAAGAATTATGTTTTGGATGATTTGTGGATTATTTTTTTTTTTGGTAGGTGAATAGATAATTGTAAAAGAAAAAGTTATTGATTAATGTATAGGACATGACATTTTGTTTTATTAACTATTTTTTTCTATTAACTATTTAGCCAAAATATAAGTCCCAAACAGGCCTAAGAGCATCAATATGAAACTAGTTAAAATTTTATTTCCATTTGAACTTAAACATTACTTTTGTCTATTTTGGTTTTACATCTTTTTAAATACATTCTCCAACAAATTTTTTATTATTTCTCTATACTATTTAAATATTATTTCTCTATCTTGGGTAAATTACGCTACTTCAATTGTGTTAACACCAAATTTTGGCCTGTTAGTAAGAAAGCTTGACTGCTTTAATGAGCTTAGTAGCTTGGTCAGCCTTACTTGCTTGCCTTTCTGATTTTGGTATCAATGAGTTAGCTTTACCGAGGATCGGGCAGGCATGCAGGTTGATGAAAATGATTATCCATCAGAGGAATCTTATTGACAAACACTTTTATAATTATATTTTACATAATTTACTTTTCAAATCACTACAAGCATTTCATTTAATATGTCTAGTTGTGTTGAACAAACGGGACCTCGATTGGATCTCCAGTTAGAAAATTAGAAGGAAAATTGTAAAACACAACACTTAAAAGGCCCGTTAGGGGGCCGAAATTGTGAAATGACAACCAAAAACCACCGAAACTTGGCACGGACAGCTTGTTCAAGCCTAAATAGACTTGTAGGAACAAACGGGATCTCGATTGGATCTCCGGTTAGAAAATTAGAAGAAAAATTGTAAAACACAAGACTTAAAAGGCCCGTTCGGGGGCCGAAATTGCGAAATGACCACTGAAACTATCGAAACTTGTCATGGACAGCTTGTTCAAGCCTAAATAGACTTGTAGGAACAAATGGGACCTCGATTGGATCTCCGGTTAGAAAATTAGAAGGAAAATTGTAAAATACAAGACTTAAAAGGCCCGTTCGGGGGCTGAAATTGCGAAATGACCACCAAAACCACCGAAACTTGGCATGGACAGCTTGTTCAAGCCTAAATAGACTTATAGGAACAAACGGGACCTCGATTGGATCTCCGGTTGGAAAATTAGAAGAAAAATTGTAAAACACAAGACTTAAAAGGCCCGTTCGGCGGCCGAAATTGCGAAATGACCACTGAAACTACCGAAACTTGTCACAGACAGCTTGTTCAAGCCTAAATAGATTTTTAGGAATGAACGGGACCTCGATTGAATTTCCGGTTAAAAAATTAGAAGGAAAAATGTAAAACACAAGATTTAAAAGGCCCGTTCGGGGGCCGAAATTTGGAAATGACCACCGAAACCACCAAAACTTGGCATGGACAGCTTGTTCAAGCCTAAGTAGACTTGTAGGAACAAACGAGTCCTCAATTGGATCTTCAGTTAGAAAATTAGAAGGAAAACTATAAAACACAAGACTTAAAAGGCCCGTTCGGGGGCTGAAATTGCGAAATGACCACCGAAACCACTGAAACTTGGCACGGATAACTTGTTCAAGCCTAAATAGACTTGTAGGAATAAATGAGACCTCAATTGGATTTCTGGTTAAAAAATTAGAAGGAAAAATGTAAAACACAAGACTTAAAAGGCCCGTTCGGGGGCCGAAATTTCAAAATGGCCACCGAAACCACCGAAACTTGGCATGGACAGCCTTTTCAAGCCTAAATAGACTTGTACGAACAAACGGGACCTCTATTGGATCTCCAGTTAGAAAATTAGAAGGAAAATTGTAATACACAAGATTTAAAAGGCTCGTTCAGGAGCCGAAATTGCGAAATGACAATCGAAACCACCAAAACTTGGCACGAACAGCCTTTTCAAGCCTAAATAGAGTTGTAAGAACAAACGGGACCTCTATTGGATCTCCGGTTAGAAAATTAAAAGGAAAATTATAATACACAAGACTTAAAAGGCTCGTTCAGGAGCCGAAATTGCGAAATGACAACTGAAACTACCAAAACTTGGCACGGACAGCTTGTTCAAACCTAAATAGACTTGTAAGAACAAACAGGACCTCGATTGGATTTCCGGTTAGAAAATTACAACGAAAAATGTAAAACACAAGACTTAAAAGGCCCATTCGGGAGTCGAAATTGCAAAATGACCATTGAAACCACCGAAACTTGGCACAAGCAACTTGTTCAAGCCTAAATAGACTTGTATGATCAAACTTGTATGAGCAAACAACACCCGATTGGACTTCCCGTTACAAAATTAAAATCAAAATTGTGAAGTTCATATCGAGGTTTTTTTTTTTTTTTTTTGTCAATCTAATATTGTTTTTTCTTTTTTCATGTGACAGATTGACAATGGTGGAAAATAGTTTGGGTTGCATCAGAAGATTTGATTTTGTGTTTTTGGAAATATTTTGACATAGGATTTTGGTAAATGATTTATGAATTAAATGTTTAGCATCAAAATATTTGGTGTTGTGTTTTTGCAAATATTTTGGCATAAGATTTTAGTAAATGACTTGTT